GTCAGGTTTATATTATTGGATTGTCATTTATGCGTAGAAATATTTGCTCATATATGCTTAGTTTTACAATCAATTGCATATTGAAAGAGGTTTGATCCTGAGCAGTCTGTAAAGACTCTGTGTGCCTTCCAGAGTGTTCTGGCATGCACACTCACATTCTGGGGGCACGAGAGAGGTCGTACCTTCCTTTATTGTTTTATGGTATATCAAACACACCAATATACGTTTTAGTTCAAGTGCCTTTTGTTTAGATGAACTGCTGGACTTCCAGACCAGCAGGATTAGGGAAGTCTTTATGGGGTCACATCTTGACCCCCCCCCCCCCCCCCCCCCCCCCCCACACACACACACACACACACACACCTACACACACACTTATCTAAGACAAAGTGAGTCAATGTGTGATATGTAACATGTAATCCTAATGACTTTCTACCTCACCTACACCGCTTCTCTGAGATTTTAAGCACTTTCGGTCCCTAGTTAGAACATATAGTTATTAAAGTTACATAATTTTCTCAAAGATCAGTAAACCTTTTGGCTGACGAAAATAAAAAATGTGCAAGCTTGCACTCTCTGTAATGTACAGATTTCTGTACACAGAGTAGTGAGAAAGATTCAAATGCCAGCACTCAGTAAGGTGCAGTAAGTGCTGAATAATTGTACTTTTTCAATAGTAAGTGTTGTTTTTTGATGCTCACTAAATTATGTAAAAGTGTATTACATCCTCGGTGTAACAAGAATTTGTCTCCCGACTCCAACTCCACCCAAGAATAAGCCAAAACCAAAAACAAGTGTAAATGCAGTACACCCATTTATTAACTTTGGCAGTGAGCTGTGCCAAAATATTGAAACAAAAGATTTCTAAACATCCCTAATCTGTTTGTTCAGTGGGGGAGGCCCAGGAGAGAGGGGTGATGTGGCTGTCAGTCATCTGGTAGTTAAGAGCTCTCTGTCCATCCAGTTTTCCAGTTTGGGAACAGGAATCAGTCAACCCAACCACTCAGCAGGCACCTGTGAGGGACGAGAGAGAAACACCCACACATACATCCTCTGATGGGAAGAGTCTGTCACGGCGGGGTGCGCCAGTGTGAAGAATGAGGTAGACCCAGATGCAGACACAGTGGAGACAAAACGTAGTTTCAAAAATAAAGCGAGCCTCTATCTGATTCAAAGAAAAATACAATTTATAAAAACTATATAATAAAGATTATTCCTCAAGCATTTACATTATAGCCATATGATGAATAACTGATTATAGTGAGTGCTTCAGTAACAGCTCTGAGCAGCATGTGTGTGTAATACCACACACAGGCCACAAGAGAGCAGCACTGTTATACAGCTTTACAGACACGTCCACGGCTGATCAATTGAAAGGTTTATTGTAGTTTATTAATAAATTAAATGCTTTACATGTGACACATTTCACAGAAGTCGAGCTCAATAAAGATGCTTCAAGAAAAAAGCATAGAGTCAAACCAAGGACATTACTCCTGCAACATGAGCATTGTCTATGCAGCCAGAGGTATTTATCTTAATTTTAATTAAAATCATCAAAGGTTGCTGAGTTTTCTTCTGATTTTCAAGCATTTTAGTTTTATACAAATGCTATAACTGTATTTATGACTTAGCTCAGTTTAAAATGAGTTTTAACTGACAGATTTGCTTCATCATTTTAAGGGATGAAGGGTCCTGTCCTGGCAACGTCTGACTAGAAACTAGAGCAGCAGATGAGTCACAGAGTCCCTCCTTACTCAGTATTATGTTAACAGTCTTTACAGAAAGACGTTTAGACATTTAGAGAAATTAGGATTACAGGAAAAACTGATAATTTAATTCATTGTGATCTTCAACATATTTTGGTTGGCTCGTGTGATGGGGCACGCAATCAATGGTGGATCAATGTCCCTCTTAAGGGAAAATCTGGGACTTTCCACCATTTGCCTTTTAGAACCAAAGAAACTTCTCGGATGAAACATCCTCAAGAACTTACAGAGGTCCAGTCGCTTTATTTCCAGACTCCTAAGATAAATAACTAATAACACATTTTACATTGATTTATGAATACTAAAGTATAAGTCCACGGTCATTAAGTGTGATCTTTTACATTAATTTTAGCCAGACGTAATGAATCCTATGTGGAGTGTGTCCCTGTTGAATATGGTCCAGTGGGTTGTACCTTCACCAGAGATGGGCAGTAACGCGTTACCTGTAACGCGTTACTGTAATCTGATTACTTTTTTCAAGTAACGAGTAAAGTAAGGGATTACTATTGCAAAATCGGTAATTAGATTACCGTTACTTTCCCGTAGGAACGCTGCGTTACTGCGTTACTAAAACCGTGATTTTTTTTGCGAGAATGTCTCATGACAGTGACGTAAGCAAGTGCGACGTTGGTGACTGCAGCTGTGTGCAGATCAACAATGGATAATATATCGAGTGCGGGAGAGAGTATGAGCGTGCAGCGTTTAAAGTGTGGAAGTACTGACCTTACTTTGAGTTTGATTCCATAAAAAGTGACAAAAACATTAGTGTCTGCTGTGCGTGGGAAGAAAACTTCTTTTTACAGCGAAAAAAACCCCTAAACTTCCGAGCAAGCACCGAGTAGCTACGACGTGATGGGAAACTCACAGAGACACTCGCGCGGATTCTTCAACTGACCGCAGCACACCTACACCAGGGTAACCCTCCGCCTACCCTGCTCCTGCTTTACAGGTGAAAATAGAGCAAAAGGACCGCTGAGTCTTTGACTTTATTTATTTTCTGCTGTGTTTTACTTGCATCTGTTTGAAAGAGTGAGTGAAAACACAAAAAATATTTTATTTTATGTGCTGGAATGTGTAGAAAATAGGTTTAAATGTTAAACTAATTTATTCAAGTCAGAGAATGTTGCATATAATTAAATGTTTTGCTTGATGCATAAAGTTAAAAGATTAAAACTGATAAAACAAGTTAAAAAAAGAGACTTTTCCATTTGATTACATTTTGTATGATGGATTATGTAGAAAAAGTAGAATTGGGCTGAAAGATCTATCACTTTATCACCTCTTCAGGTTGTAAATCGTGTTTTTAAAAAGTAACTAAGTAACTAAGTAATTAATTACTTTTGAAAATAAGTAATCAGTAAAGTAACGGGATTACTTTTTGGGGGGAGTAATCAGTAATTAGTTACTGATTACTTTTTTCAAGTAACTTGACCAACACTGACCTTCACTTACTTTTAGTCTGCAGCAAATCTATTACTATATTTACATATAAAGATTGTGTTATTCTACCCCACGCATATTCAGCAATTATAGCAGAATTTTTTCTTAAATAGACAAATGTGCACAAATTCTAATTATTAAATTACAGAAATGAAAGATTAATAACTAATGATATTTTCTTGCTATCTGAAAAATTTACACTTGGTGAAGTATTAACATTTTTGCGTTTTTCATGCAAATTTTTGTATATGGATGGATTACTGTGCAAAAAAGGCATTTCCATAGAGAGGCACTTTGCATCAGCAGCACCATGCTCCAGTGCTCTGGGAGAGTTTATAGTCCTGAGAGTTGAACACTGGATGACTGACAGCTGTCCTTCATCACAACAGAAGCCACAGAAATCCTCCTCATCAAAAACATGACTTTGATCTGCGTCCTCATCTGGACTCTCCTCTGCTGCTGCTTCACAGGTAAAGTCCAGAGAATCAAACTCCTCTCCTCTATCAACATCTGTCCCTCTGAAATGAAGCCCACAAAACCATGAAGCTGCTTTATGTTTTTGTCTCTGTGTCCTCAGAGTCCAGAGGACAGATCACAGTGACTCAGCCTGGAGCAGTGAGCTCTGCTGTGGGAGGATCTGTGAGCATCAAGTGTACGACCAGTCAGAATGTTCATGTTTATAGCAACAATCACTGTTTAGCCTGGTACCAACAGAAAGATGGAGAAACTCCCAAACGTCTCATTTACTGGTCTAGCACTCGACAATCAGGGATTCCAGCTCGTTTTACAGGCAGTGGATCAAACTCTGACTTCACTCTGACCATCAGTGGAGTCCAGGCTGAAGATGCAGCAGTTTATTACTGTCAGAGTTTTCACTATCCTAACAGTCAGTATGTGTTCACACAGTGAAAAACAGTCGTACAAAAACCTCCCTCAGTCAGACTGAACAGAAACTGAAGTGACTGCTGCAGCTGGAAGATACTGCAGAGACTGATACAGTTCACTGAGGGGACACACACACACACACACACACACACACACACACACACACACACACACACACACACAGATTTTCTCTCAGCGACATTCAGCACAAATTTGTGCTTTATTAACTAAAGAACAAAGGTGGCCCAGTAACAGAAACCAAGGTCAATCTTAGTCATGACCTTTGACCTTAGCAGTGGAGCAAAGCCACAACATCTATAACAAGCAACAAAAATCTGAAAATGTTTATTATCAGCAAGGGTGAAAATAAAAACAATACACCTGCGAATTTAAGATTTTACTGTAAACATATCATCAAACATGAACATGAGTGAAAAAGCTGTTATTGAAACTTTGTACTTCAGATTCTTTCTAATCACTCCTTGTATTCGTTGACTCTCCTGTCTGTGAGTTCTCCTCAGAACAAACAGCTTATTAGAGACACTAAAGACTCTTTCTTCTTTAGACTTGCTTTGTAGTCTGGTGAGGCTGTTTCCGTGGTAACCAGGTCCCAGCATTGCTTCATGAACCAGTCTGTCTGGTTCAGGTGAGCAACACCACCAACAACCTACCACACACATTTAAATAAACATAAAAATAACCTGAACAACTTTAAAACTCCTTTTTCAGCTTTTGCCAAAATGCAGATCTCCTTAGTGGTTCTTTCAGCCTGTGTTTTATTTTACCAGTGTAAAATAAAGACATCATGTTGGAGTGCAGAGTTGGTATGAATTCTTCTAAATGAAACTTATATTCATCAAGTGCAGGTTTGTAGATTTGAATAAAATTAAATGTCTGATTCAACCAAAATTCACTTTGCAAAACATCTTTATTACCTAAAACATGAATGTTGTCATTATGAGAAAGAAAATAACAGTTTTAGTCTTTATTTGTTCTTCAAAAAGAAAGATGGAGAGACAGTTACAGAGTTGAGAATGAGAGCATTAAACCAGTATCAGGTTGAGTCAGGTCAGGACTGGGAACACTGGTCTCTCCTCAGTGGCTCTGAGACCAGAGCCTGGCAGCCCTGGGTGGCCTCACAGGTCACAGAGCCCACCTTCATCCAGCGGTCTGCAGGGAGCCTCAGGGTGCTGCTCCAGCTGTAGAGGCCGTCGTTCTGCAGCACCACGGGGCTCCTGCTCTCCTCCCAGCTGATGCTGCCACTGCCATCCACCTTCCAGGACAGACTCCAGTCTGAGGGGAAGCCCTTGTTGGCCAGACATGTGATTGTTGCAGTCCCCTGCTGTAGCTCCTCACTGGAGGGGGGCAACACTGTCAGGACGGGACGGGCATCACCTAGGAGACACCAATCAGCTTAGAGCACAGGGAGCACACAGCTGTCAATCAAACCACAGACAGTCGGACACCTTTACTGTAAGAGCTGATTTTCTCCGTTAAGAAGTTTCTGTCAGGTGTTTTTTCTGCTCCACCAGTCATTCACTCACACATTGTTTCACTTCCCTTTAAGAAACCTCTCATGCATATCAGCACAGAGAGAATCATCACACAGTTTGAGCTGAAATATGTTCAAACTACACTGGAAATAAAAGAAGCAGATGTGGAAACATTTACAAAACAAGTTTAAAATCATCAATATTGTACATGACTGACATTAATATTAACTGGAAACAAATAAATAGAATAAATTAATTAATTCAGCGAAACGAAATGCTCTTCCTGTATATCTAAAACAATTTTTAAAATTCACACAAACTCAAAGTAATTTCAAGCAATACTTGAAAGTTTTTCTTCTTTATATTATTGTTGGATTTTTTTTTCAGTTTAATTTGACTGAAATGTAGACATAATATTTTGACAGAGCAGATCTGAATTATCCTCCATGACACAAGAGGATGATAAAAAATTCCAGCATCAAACTTATTGTAAAGCTACGTGCTTTTCTCTTAAAATCAGAAGAGAAATTGTTAAATGCACTTTAATAAAAAGACAGTATTTGATAGTAAACCAGAATAAACTTACGTCCAACATCCAGTCTGGTTCCTCCACCAAAAGTCCACCACAGTGATACAAACTCATTGAGGCGCCGTACAAAAACCTCTGACTGTAGAGAGACACGGCTCTCTGACTCTGAGACAAACAAACTCAACTAAATCATTCACTGTTTGCACAGCAGCCATGACTCAGCTGATGTGACTTCTTCAAATATCATCATACAATGTTAGTTTAAATACAGTTCAATCCATGAGCTTTTGGACGATCACATTTTTTTGTCCTGTCCCGTTCGGCACTGAAGCAATCAGAATTATTGTCTGAAGGCCAAGAAAAATTCTCAACAGATTTATTTTCTCAAGTGAATCAGTGCCATACTGGTCCACTTGATTGATCTTCATTATTTTTTTATTTTTTTATTTTTTTAAATGATTACAATTGGAACAGATATAACCAGGGGATCGTAAAGAGAAAGACAGATAAGAGAAGTTTAAGAAAAGGAGAGGGAAAGAAAAACAGAGGGGAAGAGGGACAGTGAGAAAAGACAATGAAAACCCATGAGATCACCTGCTGGAAGAAAAAGAAGAAAACAAGCAAAAAGAGAACAACACAGTAGGGAGACCACAGCAACAACCTAGATAAGCATAAGTAAGAGTAAATAATAAAGACTGAATGCTACTGAGCAGCACAAAAGACCGACAGCAGACGATATGCTTAGAGGCAGCATCCAAGGAAGACGGTGAGTGTCTGTGCACACCTGTGTGCGTGAGTGCGCTTGTTTCCAAAAGGTTTCTCCATGTAACTATCTAATAGTAATTGTGGGGAGCCATAGCACTGCCCCCCAGGACATGGAGCAAGCACGGAGGACATCCAGGACCCAGACATCTAGATTCCCCCCAGAGCACAAGAGCCCAAGCAGGACCACTGGAGGGACAGCCGCCTCCCTCCTAGAAACAAGCTGGGGAGAGCCCCAGACGGGTGTGTGTGGGGGGGCGGTGAGATGGAGTCTAAGACCCAACCAGACATATAAACATAGACAAAGCTCTTCATAAAGCATGCCTCATCCACAGACATTCATATAAACACTAAATCCTATGCCTGAGTGCTTTCTATCTAGCATTGAGACAAATGTTCAGCATTTTACTCTCACCAGTCAGAGAGTCTAAAATATTTGAAACTGTAGCCTTTTGTGTTTGTCACTGATCAATATCTGAGTAATATTATTCATAATTAGGCACTAACACACATGGTGTCTTGATGCACGCTCAATCATCCAGGTAAGTAAAACCCACAAGGTTGATTCTGTTCATCTGGACGCAGCGTTTTCAGGGGGAGAAACGTTTCGTCACTCATCCAGGTGACTTCTTCAGTCTCAGCTGACTGCAGGTTTCTCCAACCTTAGAAACAGCACATTTGCATAATAACTGAAACCAGCCCACTGAAGGAACAATGAGCTGGGAGGTCAGTTCCTTGATCATTAATATGCAAATTCTCATGACCATTAATGAACAGACACTGATCAATGGCCATGAGTAACACACATGGTCTGGTGCAAAGATTCAGTATAAGTTCTGATGATGTGCTGCTTATGTTTTTATGCTGTAATCTTTATAGTGTAGTACAGAGCACGATGAAGAAATGATGACTTTTCTTCGTGCAAATATTTACCAACTGTATTACCAGATTTTAAGTACGTCACAGAATAGCCTGCCCAATCCTCACAACCAAAGCTTGCTCAGCATAAGATGCACAATGTAAAACTTTAAAAAAATGCTTTTAAAAATAATCAACAAAACACAAATTGCTGAGTTTATGAATAACTCAATGGATTAATTAAAAAGAGAAAGAGGAAAAAAAAGATGAAATTACAGCAGACAGAAATACCAAATCACTGATTCTTGAACACAGAGTAAACCTTTTATAATGGACAAGGGCATTTCCATGATTTCCATAGAGAGGCACTTTGCATCAGCAGCACCATGCTCCAGTGCTCTGGGAGAGTTTATAGTCCTGAGAGTTGAACACTGGATGACTGACAGCTGTCCTTCATCACAACAGAAGCCACAGAAATCCTCCTCATCAAAAACATGACTTTGATCTGCGTCCTCATCTGGACTCTCCTCTGCTGCTGCTTCACAGGTAAAGTCCAGAGAATCAAACTCCTCTCCTCTATCAACATCTGTCCCTCTGAAATGAAGCCCACAAAACCATGAAGCTGCTTTATGTTTTTGTCTCTGTGTTCTCAGAGTCCAGAGGACAGATCACAGTGACTCAGCCTGGAGCAGTGAGCTCTGCTGTGGGAGGAACTGTGAGCATCAAGTGTACGACCAGTCAGGATGTTTATGTTTATAGCAACAACCATATTTTAGCCTGGTACCAACAGAAAGATGGAGGAGTTCCCAAACGTCTCATTCACTCTGCTAGCACTCGAGAATCAGGGATTCCAGCTCGTTTTACAGGCAGTGGATCAAACTCTGACTTCAGTCTGATCATCAGTGGAGTCCAGGCTGAAGATGCAGCAGTTTATTACTGTCAGAGTTTTCACTATCCTAACAATCAGGATGTGTTCACACAGTGAAAAACAGTCGTACAAAAACCTCCCTCAGTCAGACTGAACAGAAACTGAAGTGACTGCTGCAGCTGGAAGATACTGCAGAGACTGATACAGTTCACTGAGGACACACACACACACACACACACACACACACACACACACACACACACACACACACACACACACAAATAAATGCTTTTTATACCTTAGTGAGGACATCTAGTTGACTTAATGCTTTCCCCAGCCTCTTACCCTAACCTTAAAAATGAATCCTGAACTCTAACACCTAGCTGAAATCTTAAATTAACTGTATCCCTGACACTAAACCCACATTTTGAGCCTTGTGGCTATTTAATAATAGGAGACCAAAAAAAGGTGACTTGACCATTTCTTCACCTGAGAAAGTCTTGGGTTGTCAGTGTTCTTTGGGTCATTATCTATTTGCACTGTGAAGTGCTGTCCAATGACTTTCCAACTACTCCAATGAGTAACATTGGCTCCAACATCTTTGACAGATGATGTGATATGCTTCAGATCAGTTTTCCTTCTTCATCATTTTCTTTTCTAATTATGCTGATAAAACTTCATCTTGGAACTGTTCCTGATTGTTCTGTGTTTTTCTGGCAAAGTCTAATCCAGTCTTCCAGTTCTTGAGTGTAACCAGCAGTTTGTAACTGGTAAGAGTTTCCTTTCATGAAGATGACTCTTGATCTCTTGGTAGTAGACTTAGACTATGATACAGCCACCTGGGGCTACTGTAGCTCAGAAGCATCCATCCAATGCATCCATCTCAGTCTAAATGTGTTTGAATGTTGTATAGAAAGCATTCCAGTAGGAAAAGCATACAAATTGTTCTTGTATTTCTTTATGGGTGAATGAGCAGAAAAGCACTATAGAAAAACCAGTCCATTTCCCCCTTAGAGAGTATTTTAGACTAATGAATATGACGTGTAAAGTACTCAAAATTAAGCTGTGGTAGAGTTTTTTTCCTTAAACTATGAATTCTGTCCTCATTCGTTTCAGCTTTCTTCTGTGGTCTTTTAGGCCTTATTTTTGTTGTGCTGGCCAATACAATCATTCCTTTTAAAAATGAACCAGGTTGTTGATTTGGTTTTTTTTTTTTTTTTTTTTTTTTTGCCTGTCCCATTTGGTTCTTTAGCCATCAGAATTGTTGTCTGAAGACCAACAAGGATACCCAATGGATTTACTTTGCCAAATGGATCTTCGTGGCATTGCTGTATTGGTCCATTTGGTCGATCTTTGTTTTTATTATTTATTATATTTTATTTTCAGATGTTACAGACGGGACAGACATCAGTGAGGGATAGGAAAGGGAGAAAGAAAGAGGAAGGAAAGGAAAAACAGAAGGGGAGAGGGACAGTGAGAAAGGGGGGGAGAAAAAAAATAAAAATCTCCTGGATCACCTGTTGAGAGAAGAATAGAAGACAAAAAAAAACAAAAAAAACAAAGCAACATACTAAACACAACACCATCGCATTAATCTAGCTAAGTGTAAACAGCAGTAAATACTAAATATTCAATGTTGTTGTGCAGCACGCAGGACAGATGTGCTTCGAAGTAGTAGCCAAGAAAGGTGTAATTTAAGTCTACGAGCAGTGAACACCCGTGTGCATACCTGTGTGGATCAGCGTGCTTGTATTCCAAAGGTTTCTCCATGTAACGATCTGCTAGCGAGTGTGGGGGGGGGGGGCCACAGCCCCGTCCTCCAGGGTATGAAGCAGGTATGGAGGAGATCAAAACTCCAGACATCCAGAGGCCCCCAGAACACAAGAGACCATGGAAAACCAACAGAGGGGCAACCGCGCCACTGTCCCAGCAAGAGCTGAGGAGAGTCCCAGATGAGGGTTCACTCAGCAGCCGCGGAGCAGAAGCCAGGGGGAGTTGCAGTGACGCGCCCGTGAGCTCCGCCGGCAGCCAGCTGTGCCTGAGTGACCGAGCCCCAGGCCGAGAGGCCGGGGGCACCCCACCTCCGAAGTGGCCCGAGCGAGCCCCAGGCTCCAGGCCCCGATAAGCGGCCGCCAAGGAGTGAGCCGGTGTGTACCTGGACGCCCACCCCCAGACACAAAGAACCACCAACGCACCGACACCTGAGGGAGTCCGCCACCGGCAGGGGAAGTGGTGGTGGGTGGAGATAGGCCTCCAAACCTTGGAGGGCCTGAGATGTCCCCAGAGAGGTGGTGTCTGATACCCAGCCTGACATATAGACACAGACATACAGGCACACACAGACACAAACATCCATTCCCACCCTCATGCTCTCATATGCACTCACTCCACACTCAACCAACGTGGAGACAGACATAAAGAGACGCTGTACACACGATCACACTCCCCAAGCGTACTCTACAAACCGGGTCTAGGTACCCTTGCCCCTGGAGGGGGGAACTGCACCCAGACCCAGGTGGTGTTACCCTTTTCCCTGCGGTGGGGAGAGGCAGACCACCCCGACTCCGTAGCAGCAGGGAGGCCCCACACTCCAGACCGCAGTCGGACGGCCAACTCCTCCTAGCCCTCCCGCTCCAGCAGGCCGCAGAGAATGGGGGTGGGAGAAGACTCCAAACCTCCCTCCACCCGCTCATTGTAGTGTTGATGCATGTGTGTTCTAAGGTGCAATTAAAACCCAGGAGGGCATGGAGCTACCTGCCAGAGAGCAGCAGGTAAGCGCATAGTCCCTCCTGATAGCCCTCAATGTCTAAGTGTATTTAAAATGGAGAGGTGGGCAACGACGCCAGGGGTGAGGTGTACACCCTGATGGTAATATGGACTCCGTGATTGTGCCCACCCCCAAGATCCTATATGTATGTGTAATGAGAGTGTGAATAATGTGAATGTCTAAGTTGTGGGATAAAATTGAGGCAGAGGCAGCCGGAAGGGGACAGAGGGGGGGTTGGTGATTTTGATAGTTCATTTGACCTCATATGCAGGGATCTAATTAACAACCAATAAATGCAATCAGATAATTTGAAATCAACTCATCTGTTTAATTTGTCTTAGAAAAATGACAGGACAGGCTTTATCTGTTGATGAAATGGCTTGAAGACAATTGCTCAGTTATTTTTGAGCCTCTGAAATTAAATAAATAAAAAAGGAGTATCCTTGTGGCACAGACGTCCACATGTTATCTGCTCCAATACAGGACCAAATTTAGAGAACTTACTTTGAATTTCAGTAAAATGTTAATTTGATCGATCCATTACTAAACAGCATTATTTGACTGATCCAAGTCTGTGCTGACTTAGAGCCACAGCAACCAAAACAAAACTAGACCAGGGGATGTTAAAATATACTTTTCTGAATAAGTATGACTCATATCATTTAGATGATTTTACAAATGACTCTCAAACCATGTTGACTGATCGGAATGACACCTGTGAATTCACAATGTGATGACTGCTCGCGATGTAATCCTGTTGAAGTCAGTCAGATGATTTCCATAGAGAGGCACTTTGCATCAGCAGCACCATGCTCCAGTGCTCTGGGAGAGTTTATAGTCCTGAGAGTTGAACACTGGATGACTGACAGCTGTCCTTCATCACAACAGAAGCCACAGAAATCCTCCTCATCAAAAACATGACTTTGATCTGCGTCCTCATCTGGACTCTCCTCTGCTGCTGCTTCACAGGTAAAGTCCAGAGAATCAAACTCCTCTCCTCTATCAACATCTGTCCCTCTGAGGATACAGAGACAAAAACATAAAGCAGCTTTATGGTTTTGTGGGCTTCATTTCAGAATCCAGAGGACATGTCCTTGTTACTCAGCCTAGAGCAGTGAGCTCTACTGTAGGAGGATCTGTCACCATCAGCTGTACGACAAGTCCAAACGTGTATTACAGCAGTCCAGATCATCGTTTAGCCTGGTACCAACAGAGATATGGAGAAATGGCCAAACGTATTATTCATTATGTAAGCAAAAGAGATCCTGGGACTGTGGGTCGTTTCACAGGCAGTGGATCAAACTCTGACTTCACTCTGACCATCAGTGGAGTCCAGGCTGAAGATGCAGCAGTTTATTACTGTCAGGGTGATTTCAGTGTAAACAGTCAGTGGGTGTTCACACAGTGAAAAACCGTCATACAAAAACCCTGAGACTGAACTGAAACTCAACTGACGCATTTCAACAAGGAAACACACACACACACACCCACACACACAAACCTGTCATGCATATCAGCACAGTCAGAATCATCCCACATTTTTACCTGAAGAATGTTCAAATGACATTAAATAAAAACATGAGATGTAGTAACATTAACATTACAAAATCATCTCCATAATCACATCACATTCTGTATTTAGAGGAAACAAGTAGAGAAAATATACAGTGGCTAAAATAAGTACTGAAAATGTCTTTTTTTAATGAGTATACATATTTCGAAAGGTGATGCTGACATGAAATTCTCACCAGATGTTGGTAACAACCCATCTAATCCACACATGCAAAGAAATCAGTGCTTTATATCCATCAGCTCTGGGGTGGCTGCGAAAGTCCATAAAAAAGGCCAGAAAGGACCACAGGGACAAAGTGGAGTCCAGCTACCACAGCTTTGACACCAGGCCACTGTGGAATGGACTACGCTGCATCACTACGAGAAGGAAAACAAAGACAGGGTTCAGCCCACCGTATCTCTCGCAGACAAGCTTAACAACATCTATGCTTGTTTTGATGCAGACAACAGAGAGCAGATCCTGTATCCTCAGGAGCACAGGGAGGCTGTAACTCTAACTCTCAAAACAGAAGCTGTGAGATGGCCTTTCAAAAAGGTCCAGGAGCAGAGTGTGTGCAGACCAGCTGGCAGGGGTGTTCACCAACATCTTCAACCTCTCTTTGAGGCAGTCGGTGGTCCCCACATCCCTCAAAACATCCACCATCATTGCTGTTCCTAAGAAATCATTGGTCTCCTGTCTGAATGACTACCGTCCTGTTGCACTGACATCCCTCATCATGAAGTGACTTGAGCCGCTGTTCAAAGGTCAGATCTGTTCCTCCCTCCTTGACACACTGGACCCTCTTCAGTCTGCCAATTGGAGAAACAGAGTCACAGAGGATGCCATCACCCTGACGATGCACACCGCCCTCACTCATCTGGAAAAAGGGAATGCTCTTCATCGACTACAGCTCAGCTTTTAACACCATCATCCCCTCAAACTTGCCTTGAAGCTCGTCAACCTTGGGTGACACCGATCTGCAGATGGATTCTAAACTTCCTCACAAACAGGCCCCAGGTGGTGAGAGTTGGTAAGACACCTCCTCATCACTCATCCTAAACACAGGAACGCCACAGGGTTGTGTGCTTAGCCCCCTCCTTTATTCCTTGTTCACACACGACTGTGTCGCTAAACATAGGTCCAACACCATAATCAAGTTTGTGGATGACACAACCATCATAGGCCTCATCACAGGCAACGATGAGACGGCCTATAGAGAGGAGGTGATGGTGCTGTACGAGTGGTGCCTGGAAAATAACCTGACACTCAACATCAGCAAAACTAGAGAAATGATAGTGGACTACCAGAAACGACCAGTCGGGGAACACTGGCCCATCCACATCAACGTTGTCAAGGTCGAAAGGGTAAGCAACTTCAGATTCCTTGGAGTCAACATCACTGAGGATCTCTCCTGGAACCTTCACACAGACACTGTAATCTGAAAAGCTCGCCAGCGACTCTACTTCCTGAGGAGGCTGAGGAAGTTTGGCATGAATGCTAAGATCACCTCAAATTTCTACAGGTGTGCGATGAAGAGCTTGCTGACGAGCTGCATTACAGTTTGGTACGGAAGCTGCTCTGCCAGCAGCCGTAAATCACTACAGAGGGTGGTGAAGGCAGCAGAGCACATCACTGGCTTGAGTCTTCCTGCCATTCAGGACATTTATTTTCAACGGTGCCTCCGCAAAGCACACAGCATCATCAAGGACCACAGCCACCCAGCACATCAGCTGTTCTCCTTGTTACCATCTGGAAGACATCACAGGAGTCTGTCTGCTCGGACTACAAGACTTAAAAACAGTTTTTACCATCAAGCCATACGACATCTCAACCACAATACAAACACACCACATTTCACAGGATGCACTCAGAAGCTGTCCTAGAGTTTCACGAGTACATTGTACACTATGCACGGGTCACTTCACTCTTATTAGGATTTAAAACAAATAAAAAAACTTACTCTGTGCAATACTATACTAACTGCCACTCAGAATTTTGTACTGTTCAGTTTGTACTGCTGCTCACTCCTGTCACTTTATCTCATGTGCAATATCCCAATGGCTTCATGATGCCTCCTGTTTGGAGAAATTAAGCGCATGCATTGCTCAGATGTAAATTTTGGCAATTCTTTGACACAAACAGTCTTCAAATCCTGAAAGTTCTCTGGGCCCCTGCTATAAACTCTGACCTTTAGTTCTCTCCATAGATTTTCAGTTGGGTTCAGATAAGCTGTTTGGCTTGGTGACTCTGGCAGCTTCATTTTCTGTCTCAAAAGCCAGTTGAAAGTTTCCTTGGCTGTGTTTGGGATCACTGATTTGCTGAAAACCCACCCTTGTTTCATCTTCATCATCCTGGTCGATGACAGCAGATTATTATGAGGAATACCTCGGTACATTTTCCATTCATACTTCCTTTAATTAAATAAAGCGTGTATGTGCCATATGCCGAAAAGGCCAACAACAGGATTTTATCCCCTCCAAACGTCACTTTTGGTATGTTTCTCAGGTGATATGCAGTGCTTTTTGACCTCCAAACATGGTGTGTATTATTGCATCTAAAGAAGTTTTTGGTCTCCATCCCCCATAGATGTAAAACCAATCATAGGGTAGATTAAGATAATGATATGTTCTGCCACCAACAGAAAAATGGTGAAACTTCTGAAATGCTCATTTTTAATGCCGACACTCAACGTCAGGGATTCCAGCTCGTTTTACAGGCAGTGGATCAGAAACTGACTTTACTTTGATCATCCACATGACTTTATTGATTCTATATTGAAAAATTCAGTAATTTTGTAATTGAAAAGAAAAATACATCATCAGCATCTAGTGAACATTTTTATGCTTGGTCTGCCCCACTGTCATTCTATAAATAAATGACTGTGATCATGTAGCTACTGAAAGAAATTTTATAGATAGTGCTATCAGCATGAACAGCTCTGATAACAGCCTTGTTTAAAAGATCCAATCCAATTTTATTTATAGAGCACTTTAAAATACCCGGCACAGGACCAAAGTGCTGTACAGAAAATAAGTTAAAAACAATAGAATAACAGAAAACAGCAAAAATAAATAAATAAAACACATAATACATAAAAATTAAAACAGCCCTATATTAAAAAAGAAAACAAGATGAAACAGCATAGAATCAGCTACAAACAACTAAAAGAAAATAAAAAAAATAAAAACCAACATCTCACGTGGTGGCAAAGGTCAGGGTAAAGAGGTGGGTTTTCAGGAGTGTCTTAAAAACAGGTAGTGAAATGGCCTGTCTAATCTTTAAAGGCAGATTGTTCCACAGTTTTGGAGCTGCTACAGCAAAAGCACGATCTCCTCTAATTTTACGCCTGGTCTTGGGTACATTCAGGAGCAGCTGATCAGCTGACCTGAGAGAGCAGGTGGGTGTATAAGGCTGTAGCAGCTCAGAGAGATAAGATGGAGCTAGGCCATGGAGGGCTTTAACAGCAAATGAAAGAATTTTATGGATAGCCAGTGACGTGAAGCTAAAATAGGGGAAATGTGCTCAAACCTTCGAGTGCGAGTTAAAAGACGAGCTGCGGCATTTTGCACCCTCTGTACATGAGTAATATATAATGGGCTGACCCCTATATAAAGTGCATTACGGTAATCCAATGCTGAATGCTAAGAAAGTCCTGGATCACTGTCTCAAAGTGCTGCCGTGAAGGAATTGGCTTTATTTTTGCAGCTGCCTGAGCTGAAAGAAGCTAGATTTTACCACTGCCTTAATCTGATTATCAAACTTCAGATCACAGTCCACTTTGACCCCCAGGTTTGTGACAGTTGGCTTAACATACTGGGCCAAGGAATCTAAATACACATTGGGGGTCTCAGTGGGGCTACCCAAAACCATCACCTCTGTCTTTTTATCATTGAATTTTAAAAAGTTAACAGACATCCAAGCCTTAATGTCATCGAGACACTGAAGTAATGGCTGTGTGAGGTATCTGCCTTTTTTCTTTAGAAAAGTCATCAGCATAAAAGTGGAAAGCAATGTTGTGCTTTCTCAGCACAGAACCGAGGAAGCAGATATAAAGAGAAGAGGAGGGGGCCTAGAACTGAGCCCTGTGGGACACCACACAAGAGAGGGGCGGAGGACAACACATGTTCACAGAGACTGACACAGAAAGTTCACCCCGCCAAGTAGGGCCTGAACCACTCCAGTGCCGTGCCCCTAATGCCCACCCAGTGCTCCAAATGAGAGAGTAAAATGCTATGATCCACTGTATCAAACGCAGCTGTCAAATCTAAAAGCACCACAACAACACAGTCCACAGCATCAGTAGCTAAAATATGCCATTAAAAACTTTTAAAAGGGCTGATTCAGTGCTATGAAAAGGTTTAAAACCAGATTGGAAAACCTATAAAACAAAAGATATTTAAAAGAGATCAAAAAGGAGTCATGAAACAAAACATTCAAATAAAAGAAGACAAATTGAAATAAGATGTATTCTGAAGAAAAAACGTAGATTCTTCCTAAATTTATTATGAAATGTCTTTGTTCAGTATTATGATGAATTGGCTGATTCAGTTATAAACAACACCATGAGCTCATGCTGCACCATGAGCCTGATCTAGGTCTTTGATGGAATCGGTCAGATGATTTCCATAGAGAGGCACTTTGCATCAGCAGCACCATGCTCCAGTGCTCTGGGAGAGTTTATAGTCCTGAGAGTTGAACACTGGATGACTGACAGCTGTCCTTCATCACAACAGAAGCCACAGAAATCCTCCTCATCAAAAACATGACTTTGATCTGCGTCCTCATCTGGACTCTCCTCTGCTGCTGCTTCACAGGTAAAGTCCAGAGAATCAAACTCCTCTCCTCTATCAACATCTGTCCCTCTGAAATGAAGCCCACAAAACCATGAAGCTGCTTTATGTTTTTGTCTCTGTGTCCTCAGAGTCCAGAGGACAGATCACAGTGACTCAGCCTGGAGCAGTGAGCTCTGCTGTGGGAGGATCTGTGAGCATCAAGTGTACGACCAGTCAGAATGTTTATAGCAACTATTTACACTGGTACCAACAGAAAGATGGAGGAGTTCCTAAACTACTCATTTATGCTGCTAGCACTCGAGTATCAGGGATTCCAGCTCGTTTTACAGGCAGTGGATCAAACTCTGACTTCACTCTGACCATCAGTGGAGTCCAGGCTGAAGATGCAGCAGTTTATTACTGTCAGAGTTTTCACTATCCTAACAATCAGGATGTGTTCACACAGTGAAAAACAGTCGTACAAAAACCTCCCTCAGTCAGACTGAACAGAAACTGAAGTGACTGCTGCAGCTGGAAGATACTGCAGAGACTGATACAGTTCACTGAGGACACACACACACACACACACACACACACACACACACACACACACACACACACAGTGATAGAGTGAAAATGTTATTGTTGTTATTGGAAGTCTATCTGTATCTCAGTCAATCAAATTTTGACCTTTGACCTCTGCTTCATAGCGGCTCAAATACATGTGAACCAATTCCTGAATATTGCTCATTATGAAAACATTTCTTAAAGAAAGAGAAAAACACAATAAATCACCAAAATCAGTGAGTCACAATTGTCTCCATAACTTATATAAATACTTCAAATAGAAACTTTAAGTCCAATTTTCTCAGGTTTGTAGATTTTTTTCTTTTTTGCTGTTCAATACTAGTCTGATAACTTTGTCTTTGACATTATGTTATAAATACCTATCTATATTACACCTGGCAAAATAGCACAATTAATATACAATGTGAAAACTACCACAGTACATACCAAAGTTCACTATCAGTCCATTTGCTGCACTCTTCATGTAATAATGCAAATATTTATTGTGATGCTTTCAGCAAGAAGGGAGAAACAAGTTAAACGTGACAGACAGTTTATGTTATGATTACAGTTGATTTGACATATATTAGGATTACAGTTGATTTTACAGTTGATGATTACAGATGATTACAGTTTATAATATTTACACATCACCTTGTTTTCATTTCAGTTTGACAGAAATATTAATATAAAATTAAAAATTTATGCAAACCTGGTTTAGTAAGTTTCCACTGGGAATATTCATATTACTATATGAATACAACATCTTTGTGATGTTAACATTCACCCTTATGCATATTTAATTTTTACAATCAGTGTAAACGTAATTTCAAATTCCAGTCTGTTTCCTGCACCAGTTATGTTGGTTACAGTGCTCCAGTACAAACAGTAACAAAAGCAGACAACACAAAAAGTAAGAAATAGCACAATATATAGAATCTATACATATATATAAGTCACCTACTATATATATATAAGTCATGATCACTGTTTACTCACTATTGTTTTGAACCAATAGTTCCATTATTTAACTGTAACACTGCAGCATATATTAAGAGGTACTTATTAAAGCACAAAGTAACTAAACATTATGCCGGTAACACAAGTTTGATTGCTTGCAAGCTTCTGCACAGACAGCATGCTAATGCTAAACTAATCAAGAATCCAGGGTGATGTTAAGCTAAGTGAATGGATAGGATAGGGATTTATATTGGCGTGAGGGACTGTAGCCTATAAGTTCTTATTGTTAAATGAT